AATTGCTGAAATGTGTTAATCGTGTGTACTAATTAGGTAATTGACGGCAAATCAAATATCAACCAGTAAATTATTAACATGAATAGTTATTAACAATCTGATTAATTATTTGTCATTTAATATTAAACAAAGCTTTACAAATTTATTATCCATCAATATTATACTATGTTTAATTTATGCGAAGTTAGCCCCTAATTAAATAGGGTTTGATCTAATTTTCACATTTTCGATTTTTTCTCAATATTTATGCTCCTGAAAACAAAATTGTAAAATAGCAATATTGTTAAAAATAAAATTTTGTACAACTTATACTAAACCTTTTATCTAAAACGTTCCGAATACCGTGCGTTATCAACAACAGTATGTAAAACCACAACTTCATCTAATTTTCACCTTTTAGAATTTTTCTCGACATTTACGCATCTGAGAGTAAAGGTGTAAAAGGGCAAAATTGTTAAGAATAACATTTTCTATAACTTTTAAATAAAAACTTTTTTGCTAAAACGTTCCGAATCGCAGTTCTACCAACAACAAGATGTAAAACCACGATATCATCTAATTTTCACCAATTTTAATTTTTCCTCACATTTATGCATTTGAGAGTAAAAGTGTAAAAGGGTAAAATTGTTAAAGGGAAAGTTAACTACAACTTTCATACCAAAACTTTTTTTTTAAACGTTCGGAATCTTGTGTTCTGCCAAAAACAAGATGTAAAACTACGATTAGATCTAATTTTTACCTATTCGAATTTTTCTCGACATTTATGCATCTGAGAGTAAAAGTTTAAAAGGGCAAAGTTGTTAAGAATAAAGTTAGCTACAACTTTTATACCTAAACTTTTTTTCTAAAATGTTCTGAATCCTATGCTTTACCAAAAACAAGCTGTAAAACAACGATTTCATCTAATTTTCGCCTTTAAGCATTTTTCTCGACATTTATGCATGTGAGAGTGAAAGTATAAAAGAGAAAAATTGTTAAGAATAAACTTAGCTACAACTTTTATACCAAAACTTTTTTTCTGAAACGTTCCTAATCCCGTGTTCTGCCAAAAACAAGATCTAAAACCGCAATTTCATTTAATTTTCGCCAATTCGAATTTTTCTCGACATTTATGCATCTGAGAGTAAAAGTGTAAAACGCAAAATTGTTAAGAAGAAAGTTAACTACAACTTTTATACCAAAACTTTTTTTCTGAAACGTTCCGTATCCCGTGTTCTGCCAAAAACAAGATGTAAAACCACGACTTTATCTAATTTTCACCTATTCGAATTTTTCTTGACATTTATGCATCTGACAGTGAAAGTATAAAAAGGGCAAAATTGTTAAGAATAAAGTTAGCTACAACTTTTATATCTAAACTTTTCTCTAAAACGTTCCGAATCCCGTGTTCTGTCAAAATCAAGATGTGAAACCACGATTTCATCTAATTTTCGCCTTTTATCATTTTTCTCGACATTTATGCATCTGAAAGTAAAAGTGTAAAAGGGCAAAATTGTTAAAAATAAAGTTTGCTACAACTTTTATAATAAATCTTTTTTTCTAAAGCGTTCAGAATCCCATTCTCTACCAAAAACAATATGTAAAACCACAATTTCATCTAATCTATTCAATTTTTTCACGATATTTATGCATCTGAGAGTTAAAGTGTATAAGAGCAATATTGTTAAGAATAAAGTTAGCTACATCTTTTTACAAAAACTTTTTTTTTAAATGATTGTGGGCTTCAATTTCGGGTTCGTGATACCAATTCAATAATACAAAAGCAATTAAAAGTGCTTCATAATCATGTTTCAATTTCGCATTGTGAGATGATTTCTGGATTATTGCAAACATAAACTTGAGTTTTGCATTTCCACTTCTTATAAAATTTGAAGTTTGTGCTTCCAGAATTAACAACAACATCTGATGATCATTCAGATGCATCCCTTCTATTATGGAAAGTATCAGATTTATGAACAAATACTATTCCAAGTTGTAGAATCAATCAATTATGAAGTATATGTAGTTTATCATTACCACATAAAAATGCAAGACAGTTGGGCAAAAAAGACTATATTTAAAGTTTCAGTAGGTGAAACTCTGCTAGTTGAAGTTCAGCAGATTATGAGCATTCACAAGCAAGACAGCACATTCCACAGATCATATCTGCGTGAACCAAGCAGATCCCAAACTGATATTTTTTACCTTCATAGTTTGTAATCTTTTTGAAACCTGCTTCAGTTGTACAGGTAGACAAGCATTTTAGAGAAGACAATTGAAGACCTTGTAGCAACAACGAGGCAGCTCTACTTTTTGTCAAAAATAAGTTAAATACACAGTTGCATCCAATGAAAAAGTAGCCAGTTGGTGCAACGAGGCACCAACCGAATGGAATCCTGGTAGGGCAATGTTAAACGGAGCTGCCTCCACCTTTAAATTATAACAACAACAAGGCAGCTGTTGTTGCTGAGCTATCTAATAAAATGAATAACTGTCTGAATAATTCAGATGATTGATGATTAACATAATTGAGAAAACGGGAAGAATGTACCAATAACAAGCAAAGTTGATGTTATGAAAGAAAGAAAATGTTTAAATGAAGAAAAATGGATACGTAATTCAAGAAAATGTAAAAGAGCAAGAGGAGAAGAGTACATAAGTGTAAGAGGAAAAGTAGTGGTAGCTAGTGTAACTGGTAAAAACTGCCAATGTAAATCTCAATGGCTTGAAAAAGTTAACCCAGAAATTCGGGATGTTATCCTCACAAATTTCAATAGCATCGGAAATAAAAAAGAACAGGATGAGTGTATCTGTGTGGAATGATAACATGTAACGAGATAAAACGTAAACGGTGTAAGACAGATACTGGAAAACCTCGCAGTGTAACTAACGTTTACGCTGTAAGTACATAGCTTTGTTTAAATACTCATCTTCTATTGCTTATAGTAAGTGCTCTAAAATTTTAAAGATTCCCTATTTTTTTATAGATACGAATCGAAACAACAAAACTTAAAGTTTGCAAAAACGCATTTTGTACATTTCATGGAGTATCCAGAAAGAGAGTAGAAATTCTAGCTTCTCATATAAGTAAGGAATAACTAAGTCACTATCTGCACCAACTGATCAGAAGGGAAAGCACCATAATCGCTCAAATAATATTTTGCAACAAACATTGGAGCAAATCGTGACACTCATTAAAATATGTCCACGCCAAACGTCTCACTACAGCAGACAGAAGAATTTAAATAGATGTTACTTATCACCCGAATTAAATATTCGTGAAATGTATGAGTTATACTTGAAGAATTATGAACCTGCAGTATATAGTGAGATGAAAACTAAACAGAAAACGAAGAAGACACCTAGAGTATTTAGCCTGTGATCTCTTATGATTTATTTTACAGATAGGTATTTTAAATCAAACTCCAAAAATTATTCTTTTGGATATCCTAGAAGTGACACGTGTCAAACTTGTGGTAGATTAGAAAATAAGATTAAAAATAAGGAGTTAACCGACGATCATCAGAAGAATGAGCTAGAAACTGAAAAAAAGTTGCACCTCAACAAATGCCAAGTTTTTTATGATAATCTAAAAGTTAAGCAGTCTTTGGCGAGAAATGATCCTACAGTTAACACACTTTCGTTTGATTTTCAACAGAATGCTCCACTGCCTAAAGTCTCTACTGGCGATGCGTATCTCCGTCATTACAAGAAATCTTCAATAAACGTCGAAGTAGAACAATTTATGATATTGATTAAAAGGAGAAAATTTGTTATATCAAAACTCAGAGTAATATCTTACAGCAGTGAACTAAAAAGAATCCAATGTTCAATATCTGTTAATTTGCTGATTTTTAAGAATTTCCAAATAGCCAGGACTAATGGACTGCCATTAAAATTTCGAAAATTTCAATGTAATGACGTCAGCAAATAAGTATGTACCCGAAAATGATTTACCGTTTTACAGATCTTTAAAATCTGATAATGTGGTAGAAAATCATGATGACATTGATATGACTGACGATGTCGCAAATGAATAACTGTTTAAATAAATTATTGGTTTTGTAAATGTGTTTCAACATCTATAAAATACTAATAAAGTAGTTTTTTTTGTATCCTCCAATACACAATTATGAATAAACAAATTTTTGTTTAATTTTGCTAAAAATGATTTTAATCGATATGAAACTTTGATTATATCTAATCGGGCATTTTTTGATTTCCACAGAAGAAACTATGTTGAATCAGATGACGTGTAGCTTTTGATAATCTAGTACATCGTTTACGAGCTATGACCGAGCTATGAAAGAAGATCATTTTTGTGTTATTTTCGAATACATTCGCATAATTTTGGCGTATTAGCGGAATTTCAAAGAGATTCCACTTTCGTATTGGCCAAGAATTCAGCTTTCGAATGAGATATTGTTCGTCAATATCGATTGAGAGGTTCTCTTGTTATAATCGAAATGCTATCTAATTGGGAAGAAAATTTGTAAACGAAATAGTTATAACTGAAAGTGTTGATTAATTTGATTGTAAGTAGAATGTGGTATTCATAGAAATTTTCTAATTAAACTCACATTGGTTGATGTGTTTATTACATCTAACGACTGTCGTTATTACTTTCTCTTAATCCTCCTAAGGGTATTTAGAGAAATCACGACGAGATATCTACACATTTCCTTAATGATTGTCAACTAAAGAAAAATGATTGTACGACTTTTTTAATTTTGCAGTCGAACGATTCAGAAAACCGGATTTTTGGAACGTGACAAGTAAAAAATATCTCTATATTCAAGTTTCGCACTCGAATTAAAACGAAATGTATCGAATATTTCTTCGCACATTAAAAAAAATCTTGAGTGTCTTGGGTTCGAGCGCGTGGGACGATGGGCGCAATTTATTGCGACGAATCGTCACTTAATTAACGAATTAATTAAGATTGATGCGCGAAATTACTACAGGCCGTTACTTCGACACTACGGCGTACGCTTATTATGTAAATGAATGCGGCTCGTTACCTGTTCATGGTTGTTTTCGCATCCTTATCGACGTCTGTTCTGATTTCGATAAGATGTTGATTGGTAGTTTGGGTCTGGTTCTGAAATTAAACCAAAAAAAAATAACTTAAAATAAAACAAAATTTTCGAATGCTTAAAATTCTTTCTTAGAAACACCTTCGCATATATGTGCAGAGATTTTGCAATGTTTCAAATATGATTAATGTAACTACGGCTTTCCACACACTGTTTTCAACTCTCAGCGAGTGCCAATTGCATTACCATTTCAAAATCAAACACCACGTTCTCGGTGTCCATATTCATTAAGTGTCAAAACCTGGGTATAAAGCGTTTATTTATAAACCTTCAATTAAAATTCTTATTAAATCGTTTTTGTGTTTTTTTTTTCGCTACGAAGACATTTTGAGTAAAGGAAAAATAAAAGACGACAACGACGTCGACGTTAATCACAATATTCTGTAGGTGTACGCGGTGTGGATGAGCCATGTCCACCATCAATTCAAGTAAAACCTAGGGGACGTTCAACTATTCGAGGTGGTCGACCCTCCCATTTGTTACGTTTATGAGCATCCTTGTACCACCTATTATCTTATTTTATCTCGGGAGGCACTTCCCTTAGAGGGTAATTTAAAAAATTATGTGACAATAAAGAATTCTTAAGACCCACAGACTGCACCCACAAAGGTAAAGACCAAGACAGTTTTTAAAATTATTGTTAACTGTTTTACAAATGCCCTGTCCAAAGTATTTTTATACACTTTTGTTACATCTTGTTGAGTAATACAACAATAACTTTTTTAATTTTCCTGTTTGGTTCATTAAAAATAATTACAATTAAAACGTTGCCGCAGGCGATCTCTAAATAATTTATTATAAAAAAATTCTTTTTAAAACAAAAAAAGTTACCGTTCTTAATACTCTTCAGAATGATAGGGGGATAGAGGAGGAATTCCTTTTCTTAGAAACTATCGGTCTCAAACCATTAAGAATGGAAGTGCAGACCAAAATAATCGTTCTGTCCCTGCCAGCTCGCAATCATTACTCGCTCATGCAATCGTTGGAAGTCGTAAAACAACATTTTTCCTGGCGACTAATTCGAAGCACATGTAAGTTCGCCACTCTAAAGTGATAATAAACCATCCTTGCAACAAATAGTCCAAGACTATGCACTGCCTCTTTCCTGACGCACTAAAACGATCATAAAATCTAAAACGGTTTGTCTCTTGAATTAAAACAAATGAATTCTTAGAAAACAAACAAATATTTTTAAGATAAAATAAGAATTTTATATAATAATTGAAATAAATCTGGAATGCTGTTCAGCATTCTTAGTGGATAAGTTAATCCATTAAAAAGGTTTTCATTAAAAAGTAGCAACCGTTATTCAAAGAGATTCTTTATGGATTATATGTGTATATAAAATCTATAGCAACTAATTCAATATTAAAGATTTAAAAGAGATTGTAAGTAGTAGAACTCTAATTCCTACGGATCATAGATTTTAATGAAGTCACCGTTACGAGAGAAAGTTCTTCATTAGCATGTTTAGTTTAATGCTATCAAACTCTTAATTCATTTTATTATCACCCAGGATTATAGTACCTACGTATTGGCATGAAGTAGAAATTAAAAAAAAAAATTATATAGTTGGGAAAGTTTATGATTAGTTGATTACTTTATTGATTTTTGAGTTTGTGCTTTTACGTTATCGTATGTATCTAAGGATGTAACTAACAGAGCATTTCTTAACCCATGGGAACCAAATAATCTATGAGTTAAATGAATAAATCTATGAGTTTTTTGGAAATTTTGGCCGAGGAAGCCACAGGAAAAAGATGCACAGAGATTAAAAAATTAGCAAATGACATGTATAATTACAGTACAGATCACAGTTGATAACATTCGAGGAATATAAACTCATAAGAAATAGGATCAACAACAAAATCTAATACGTCAAAAGAGCTCATTGGAAAAATTTTAGAAAAGATATGGAGTATGCCCTCCATAAACGGCAAACAAATATTTGGAATGTGTTAAGAAACAGAAAAAGCCTTAATAAGCATGTGAAACTTATAAAAATTGCACTGAATGACTGGGAAGAACATTTTTGTAAACTTTACAGCGGTGGCGAAAATACTAACGAGAGACCAGATACAGAGTATATTACTGAAGACACACATCAAAAGTGGTCCATATCGAGAAAGAATAAAATAGACATTCATCAAGTTGAAAAGTTGAAAATCTGCAAAGGTTGATGAGATATTGAATGAGATACTACAACACGGTCAGGATACACTACTCAACGAGATAGAGGAGTTGTTTAACAAAATAATATAAACAAAAAGGATACTAATCAAATGGAAAGAAAGCATAACAAAAGCCAGTATTCAAAAAGGGATGCAACAAAGATCCTGGAACTATCGTAGAATAAGCTTTCTAAGCTCGATAGTGCAGCTATATACAAACATTCAAGGTGAAGTTGTTTCAGCTACCAGCATCTGTGAAGAACAGCAAGGTGTCAAGAAAAATGGAACAACGTTAGACGCTGCATTTATGGTATAACAAATCGCCAACAAACTTGTGTCCAAGTATATTATTGACCTTTCTTTATAGCAAGAAAGCGCCGCCATTGCAAATTTGCAGTATACAACAAGTGTACAAAACAGGAGACGAGTTTTAAATATCGTATGGCGTATAGATTCCAAGTACCAGGAACCTCCAAGAAGAAACTATCGCTCATACAAGAAAAGGAACTTTGATCTCTACTATTACTACTACTCTACTATACTTCGACTCAGAACGTTCTCCAAAGTCTTCCACTTCCTAATCTCCATTGCTTTCTCTCCTTCCACAGATCTTCTTTTACTTCTCTCTCTATCTCATCTCTTTATCAATTCCGTCTGTCCAGCTGGTTCTTGGTCTCTCTTTCTACGACCATGTGGTTTCCACTTTTGGATCTGTTTTGGAAATCAATTCTCATCCAACAACGTCCCAGTTGTTTTGTTTTTATATCATCTACGATGGTGCGTTTAGCATCCATGAGAGCCCCGGGTTCTTACATTTCTTATCTTCTTTAGTTTCAATTTACCTGCGCCCCTTCGTCAATCTCTGTGATTTCAAGATATTACTGCATTTTTTGTTTCCATGGCCATATTTTGCTTCCATATGAGATTAATTTTTATGCTTATGTTGTATACCCTCTGCTTGTTCAGTTTTGATTTTTTGATCCCATATTATGTTGTTCATTATTTCTTTGCCTTCCTTCCTAAAGCGTTTCTTTCTTTAATTTATGTGACTAGGATTTCGTCATTCGTAGTTGTCATTTCCAGAAATTTGTATGTTCTACATTTTTTGATTTGTTTGCCATTTTTTCGAGGTCCCCACGTCTCATATTTCTCTATCAGTTTCCTACTCATCAGAGGATATGTAAGGTGTTGTTAATTAATGCTTTACTCATTTTCGCTTCCAGTTTCTTAGTGTTTGCACTAGGTAAATTTTATATAGCATTGGGGATAGAGAGCATCCTTGTTTAAATATCTTTGTGATTTTGAAATCTATTGATGTTTTATATTCCATCTTTACTTTTGCTATTAGGTTGTCGAATAGCATTTTGGCTGCTCATGTTAATGTTATTCCAATGTTAATCTTTTCCTATGCCATCCAGAGATTACGTGGTACACTGTCGTACGTTTTCTTCAGATCGACATATAAGCATTTTACGATTTACTGCCATTCTCTTCTCGATTTCTTGTGTTAGGCAGAACAAGTAGTCTATAGTTGAAATCTAGTCCGCTCGAACTCCTACCTGTTCTTTGGCTCCTAAATCCCTGTAGCCATGTTCTATTCTGGCCTTTAAGACTTTCTCATATATTCTACTAAGCGAACTTGTAACGGTTATTTCACGGTACTTATTACATTCAGTTCTACTCTATCTCTTTTTCTAGTCTCTATTCTATCTCTTTTTATATATTGTTGATATTATAGAAGTGCTCCATTCTTTTGGGATTTTTCTTTCATTTATACATTTTTGAAAAAGTGTCGTGAGGTACTTAAACAATTTTTCTGTTCCATACCTAACAAGTTCAATTAATATGTTTTATTTTGGCGACGGCGACGGTTAGTTTTATAGGCAAGTATGTGATTTGCATATTTTCAGGCTTGTAGGATTTCGTTCCATTTTTCTGTTGTTTTGCGTGATATTAAATCTTTTTTCGTATGAACTTATTCTTTTGAATAATTTTCAACTTTTTGAGCTTCCTCCCAAATATGTGTTCAGCCGATTACAATTTTTCTCCCAGGTGTTATATATGATTTTAAAGTTTTTGTCTTTGTGATAAGCGATTTAAGATATTTTTCTTTCTTTTCTCTTATAAGGTTTTCCGTTTGTTTATCCCACTAGTGTAGTTTTGTTTTATGTTTCATGATAACCAATGAATATAGTGTTCTTGTACATCTTCACACTGTAAGCTTCCTAACATATTTATCTAATCTCCTCGATACACTCTCACGTCGTAAACTTTCATTTATGTTGTCTGTTTTGTTATACTGTAGCCTATTATTAACATAAATTTTTTGTGTAATGTGTCCAAGTATATTTGTGGATTTGTAGCTCAGATTACCCGAGGGATATAAAATGCTAAAATAAGTATATGTCGTAGATAGCAACGTCCGCACAATAGAGACGAGAGTATGTTACCACAAAAAGAATTTTAAGAATAGCGAAGATGAAGACGATAAGATCATTAACAGGATATACCTTGTGGGGTCATTAAATAAGTGACGATATCAGAGAGATATTCAATATCTAGGACATTGTGAGATAGGTCCGCAAAAGAAGACGGGAATGGGGAGGCCATGTTGAACGTATGGAAACCTACCAAGGATAGACAGAGATTCCTAAACCTACTAAAAGCAAACAAGCAAATACGAGAAATTCTAAGATGCGATGGAATGAAAGCTGGAGCTCAACTTCTCAACAGGGCATTGGCTAAAGGAAGAGTACACGTTTTGGAATCAAAAGTGTTGGCACTGTTACAGGACGATGATGTAATTTATATTTAATTAAATCGTGTATATATTT